TTAGTTAATATTATGCATAATAATATGCACGAATCGTTAGGTTTGTAGAAAAGATTGTTGTAGATTGTAGCGTGGTGCGGGGGGCTGGGCGATGGCGGTAAGCAAGGGCAACACGGAACTGATAGTGCCTTGCTACACTAACAAGATCGGACAACATATACTTCGTTGACAGCAGCGGCCAGACTGGTGTGATACTCATAGGCACCAGAATGGTTGTGATACAGACTGCAACAGTAGGTTTGGTTGTAGAAAGCATACCAGTCGTCTTCGTAGTCTTCCTAGCCATCACACCACTGTAACCGCTGTCCTCTCCTCCCTTGCCTCCTACTGCTGCTGTCATCAGTGGCAGCATAACTAGCATCACAGTGCAAATGCCATTGCAGCACCAACGCAAACGGTGAAAGCCACGATGTTTGTAGTTCTCATTTTCGGTATACAAGCAGCAGTTATCCAGCCTGAAGCACAGTACCGCAATACCATCCTCCTTGTACATGCCATTGCAGCCCAAGTACATTCACATCTGTTTGCCAGATGTTTGGGCACCTTGTAAGTCGATTGTTTTGAATTTGTTGCGATGGGACCTTCGGACATAGTTATCCAGCTGGTCGTCCTTCGCCGTACCAGCTGTTAAGATAGCAACTCTACAGTAGTACCCCAAACAAATGCACCGTTTTCTTCTGCACGCATTCTCTGCATCTGGGCAGAAGCCGTTGTGGCTCAACAGTGCTGCAAGCTTGGACCCAAGGCCATGAGAGAGCCCCACTAGAAGCCCTTTACGATCCGAAATCGGAAGCCCCAGACCCCAAGTGGGGGTTTCCGGCAATAGGGGAGCAAAATAAGGTACCCTGAATAGTAGGATCCTTATTATAAGGACCCCCGAAATAAGGTACTCCCTATTTTCGGAAACTCCCAAGTCTGCGAGAAGCCCCCTCCCTGCCACTGGCTGGAAAGATGCCGCAGGTGCCGGGATGCTCGGGCTTAGGGTTTAGGGATCTTTGCCCTTCGGATACTTTCAGGTTCATGGGACTTAGAAACCAGGGTTATTGCGAGGGTGCTTGTCTTTATTGTTACTTACAACCCCAATCAGGGTACTTAGTACCTCAATTGTTTACCCTAAATCCTAAACCCTAAACCCTAAATGCCCAAACCCCCGCTTTAAGTCCCATGATCCGCCAAGGAGGAGTGCAGGATATGGGCTGACGCGCTGGTTATAGCATAGGCAGCCTTTGACTAATGTAGGGGCCTTAAGAATTAGAATAGGGTTTTGGGGTTTCGGGGTTTAGGGTTGAGGGTTTTGCGGGTTTTGGGGGGTTCCTTGTTGTGATTCTACTATATAATGGACACCAACACCTTATTCAAATTATTGAAGCCCCTACATTAGTGGGAAGCCGCACTGTTTAAGAAACTCAGGCAAAGATGGGTGACTGTGGACGGCGGGTTCCTGTCTGGTGAAAGCCAGGCTTTTAGAACATCTGTAGAGTTCAGGGTTTAGGGTTTAGGGTTTAATCTATAGGGGTTGGAAGACTGGGAGCCTGCATCATCCGTGTTCGTGTGGGGAGGCCTTTGGTTCAGCAAATCAACTTCTTCCCCACATGGGTAGTTCTCTAAGTTAGGGTCCCTTTTGGGGTCCTTTTAAGGGTGCCGTACTATATTGGGGACATAAAAAGGGACCCTAATTTTGAGAACTACCCACATTTCGGGAGTTATTCGGAAGGAGTGGGTTGGTCCTGTGCAGGAGCACCGCATGTGAAGCTTCCTTGTGCAGGCTGTTCGTTTTCTCTTATAGTCCTCTCTCACATCTTTTTTCGGCATGTGTGAGGGGAAGTGCCTGAAGCGTTCAGCAAGAGAGACGCGTTTGCCGAGGCCGTTTTTCGATCAAAAAGCGTGTCAGGTGGGATTGGCAGCCGCTCACGACTGGTGACAATCTCATTCTTAACTTCACATGCTAACATTTTGAAAACCCCAATCCCTAAACCCTAAACCCTAAATCTAAAGCCTCTAAACTCCCAAAGCCTCATATAAACCCCAATCCCTAAACCCTAAACCCTAAATCTAAAGCCACTAAACCCCCAAAGCCTCATATAAACTGCAAACCCCCCACAACCCCTAAACCCTATATCTAAAGCACCTAAACCCCCAAAGCCTCATATAAACCACACCAAAAAATTGCCACACAACCCTAAACCCTAAACCCTAAACCCTAAACCCACAACCCCCCAAGCCTTTCGCCATCCTTGGCCAGGGGATCAGTGCAGCGGAGGCTGTGCTGAACGCCTTCCGAGGCCGCCGGGACTTGAAGCCAAAACAATCCTTGGTTCGGGTTTAAGGTTTAGGGTTTAGGGTTTAGGGTTCAGGGTTTAGGGTTTAGGGTTTAGGGTTTCGGGTTCAGGGTTTAGGGTGTAGGGTGCTCATGGTGTGTACATGTATTACGTATATGTAGATGTAGATGTACGAAAATCCTTGGTCGAGGGGTAAGGGTTTAGGGTTTAGGAAGGGTGCTACAAGGGTTTCGGGTTCAGAGAAGACTGAGGGTCCAACGAGGTTTCTATAAGGATTACATAGCCATTTTGGCTCAAGATCGCGTCAAGCCGATTCAGACGGTTCTCTCGTTTCAAAGACCTGAGATGTTTGACGCTGATGATTGGTTTGAAGATCTCATGGACGAGATAGGAGATCGAGGCGGTTTCAGAAAGCCGAAGGACCAGACCCGCAAAACGCCTCTAGTCCCTTTCGAGTCCCAAGGGCTGGTAAATTTTATCGATGGTGGCAACTCTCGGCTCGCTTGGATCCGCAGGTTTGGGGAGAAACTATCGCCCTTGAAAGGGAAGGTGAGTGTTGACGATGGAAGAGTCTACTCTGCGATCACCTTCACAGATCTGCTTGATGGTTACCCCGTGTCTGGGCCTAATCAGATAGAAGACTCGAAGCATGGATTCAGAGCAGGTCAACAGATCGCGGAATCTCTTCTCAGAGGACTTGAATCGAAAAGCTGTGACGAAATTGGAGTTCTGAAAAAGATCATACAGTCCGTATCTTCTGCGAGCTTCGAAAATTTGCCGGGCGGATTCCTCAAGTACCTGTCAAGGTCTGAAAAACACACTGAGATCATCACCCAAATGGATCGGTTGGGCTGGCTCGGAAAGAATGTGACCACAGGCGAGAAGAGTGTTACCACGAAAGAGTGGATGCCTGTTGAGTCTGGCTTGACTTGCATCGCGGTCATCACCAATGCCTTCTTCCTTCTAAAGACCCCGGAGACAGCTGTCGAACCGAGGCCAATGAAAGTCATTTTTACCTTAGAGGATCTTCAGAACGCACTTCAACAGGTTGCAAAGAACAAGGCTCCGGGCCCGGATGGTGTTGAGGCTGACCTTTTTTCAAATTGCTCGACCATACCTCTGAGATCGCCCTCCTTGATTTGTGCAACCAAGCTAGAAGCTCTGGCTCTGGTCCAAACACTTGGACTGAAGCAACAGTTGTTTCGATATTCAAGGGCAAGGGATCTGACGCAGATCCGGCGAACTACAGGCCTATTTCCCTGCTGAATGCCAGTTATAAAATTTTTGCGGCTATGATAAAAAACCGCATTTTTAAGCACTGCGAGGACAAGTTGCGTCGGACGCAATACGGCTTTCGACCACACCGCAGCACTAAGCACCCTCTGTTCATCTTACGCCGGACCATGGAGTGGGCCAATATGACCAGCAGAGAGGTACAGAAACAGGCATTTGACTCCGTCGACCATAAGGCTATGATGGTTGCCCTGACTAGGTTTGGTCTCCACGACGCGGAGCTCTCGCTTATCAGTTCCTTTTATACTGACGCTACATTCGGCACACAGGGATTTGCTGACCACACCGCGAAGGGATCCTTCAACTCAGGTATCAGGCAGGGTTGCCCTCTCAGTCCATACCTTTTCATTGTGGTGTTGTCGGTTATCTTTCATGACGTCGATGACGCGCTTCTCACGCAGGGTGTGCCCACTAACGTTTGGTCTGTCAACCATCCTTTTTATGACCTGGAGTATGCCGATGATACTCTGCTCCTCTCTCTGACCACACCGCAAGGGCAGAGTATGCTCCATGCGCTTGAAAGGGAAGCGTCACTGTACGGAATGTCTTTGAACCAGAGCAAAACAGAGCTTTTGACTAACCCGTCTTTACCCGAACCCAAATGGAAGTTCATCAATGGGGACTCCGTCCCCACTACTGAGGTCGTCAAATACCTCGGATCACACATCTCCTGGGTCAAGAGCTTCGACACTGCTTTTGCGCACAGGAGGGCCCTTTCAGAGGAGGCTTATAAGAAGCTCCGGCTGGTTTGGAATAGCTCTCTCGCCAAACAGGAAAAGCTGAAGATATTCCAGGCCGTCTTTATACCTACTCTTATTTATGGTCTTGACAGTCTGACTCTGACCACACCGCACCTTAAACGCATCGATGCTCACTACTATCGCTTTCTTCGCCGCGTTGTGGGCATTAAGGCGTCATTCTATTCGAGAACCCCGAATACTGAGGTCTGGGAATCGGCGGGCAAGCCTCGGCTGCCCTCTGATTTCCTTCTAAAATCCGAACTTAAGTTCGCCGCTGAGGTCTTTGCTGCTGACCACACCTCTCCGTTATATACTGTTGTTTTCATCGAGCCTTATACGGATCGAATAAAGATTCACGGCAGGAGGAGAGGGCATCAGATTCCATATTGGCTCGAAGTGTTCTCGATTCGGCACTTTAAAGAGATTTGGCACCAAAAAGTTGGAATCTTGGGACCACACCACAGATATGTCCTCATATCACACCG